AGGATATCCATGAAAATGGACTCTCAAAGTGAAAGCTTGCATCCAATTTTATTGAAGATAGAAAAAATAACATATTACTAAGATTTTGTTGGTAGGGCAGGCCAAACCTACTCTCATAGTTCTCTAGATTTCCATAATTATCCCCACATCATTCCTTAGATTTCCATCCATCTTAAGTATGTCTCCTTCTATAAATCCTGACTTTATACAATCAACTGATGTGAATCCAAAACTTACTATGAGATAATGTTATGGTGTATATCCTTCTCAAGCAACACGATAGCATTCAAAAAACGTAGTCCAGACAAAAAAAGATGCATAAACAAGAAGACCATTCTAAAAGAAGCCACTGATCTCATCAAAATAAGTTGTGCATCATGTATCTATCGTAACTAAGCAGTATATCAAGCACAATATTGAGTAGCAAAGCTAGCTTCAGAAATAAGCTCAAATGTTTATGCACATTTACTAGTTCAAATAATGAAACCGGTGCAACAATGATCCGTGCAAGGAATATAACAATCATCAGTTTATGGCTCTAAGCTAAGGGTACTTTATACTCGACGAAAGCAGATAATTGCATAAGTATCACTACAAGACGCACAAAAATGAAAGCAAGGTTTCTAATTGAACATAGGCAAGTAGAGAAATTTATTGCGTCAATTTCCATCAAGCTGTTGGAAGTCAATTTGGAGATCACCGCTGTAAACATCAAGGAAGTTGGCCTAGAGATCATTATCACTGTTCTTTTCATCAGAATTTGTCTTAAAGCAGCTCGAGAACATTCATTCTCATGGAAGGTAAAAGCTATCATGTTGTTGATCCAATGATGGATTGTAAATACTACCAGAATATAAGAAAACTGCCATCGGCACCTGGTATGGAAAGAAATGAAACTTCAATTATGAAATCCTTCTGTCCCATTTTGAAGTCAGCTACATAATCCTTGTCATCATTCAGCTCATATCCATATGGTTTCTTTTAAATCTGCCCCTAATCCTACTAGAACAACAACAACAAAGCAATGCATTCATCCTAATTTTTGGGGTCAAGACACATGAATCTTACTCTCACATTCGGTTCTGTTGAGGATTATCTCCTCCAGTAAGCTAATTATTATCATATCCGCTTCTGACCAGGTTCACTAAGGCCTACCTCTAATCCTCATTTCTCATTGATTATAGTCTTACCACTTCTCCTAACCGATGCATTTCACAACCTCCGCTGCACATGAACAAGTCATTTCTGATGTTTATCTCTCATTTTATCCTACGTATCTACCCTCAATCCTACACATCCTATTTTCTTGCCTCAGCCTAAAACCATGTTTGTTTGGATCTATCCTTAAATCTACATGCTTCTCCATTCTCAGTTCTAACAGGAGCATTGACCAGTTGCTTTTCTGTGAGACAACCAACACAAAGTTAATCCATCCTAGCTTATTCTTATTTCTTCCGAGAACACTGATTTATTATCCACCTTTTTCATATTCTTATTCATTGCTTTACCCATTCAATTTAGACTACAACCATTCTACGGACACTGTGTTCTTATTTTTCAGGTCAATGGACACCATGTTCTTAGCTGTGCAGCTCTTGACCAATTTTTTTTTTTTTTTTTTTTTTGAGAACTTTGTTCCTCAAATTTCATGGTATTTCTATTATCACATAGCAAGTCTGAAACACTTTCACACTCAAGCATCCTGTTCCGATTTTAAGACCATCCTCAATCTCACAATCAGGATGAAAATAAAATGGCTCCTATAGTCATCATTACTATACTTTTTGGATAACAATGGCATAATAGAGCTCTGAGAACAATGTTATCCCTTACTGACGATGGGGTTAACATTTCCATCCGAAAGTGTCATGTGGAGATGGTGTAACCCCCTAAAACCTTTTTAAAAAAATCTAAAGTAACCACATCATAACCCCATTTAACCTTCTCACACCATTAATCCTACTAAAACCCTCCAAATTTAACCAAATAACACCTCCACCATCTCATCGTCCACATCCCCTCAGTTGTAGCAAACACCTCATCCTCCTCCGCCATCAACTTCTCCATTATTTCTTAAACAATTAAGTCGTTTAACCCAAAAACACATCTCAATCTATTATTTACTTTTATCGCCATCACATTTTCCTTTCACCATTATCACCATATAATTTCAAAATTTTAACCAAAGATTTATGCCCAATCCCTGCACTAAATCCCTCCTCTACCTCCCACCACAACCTCCTACTTGCCACCATCCCTCCTCTTTATCTTCCATTATTATGACCAACCCCTTCCATCACCACCACAACCAACTTCTTCTCTCCACCATAATGTTTTAAGGGTTTTGGTTCAGGATCTTAAGGGAGATAAATAATTGAGAAAGCTTTACTTAAAAAAGACAATTGGTGAGATGGTTTGAGATTAATTAGATCTTGATGCAAAACTTTAAAGGTATCATTTGAGTTACACATGATCCTCTGTGAATAAGAACTTAGTCCTGTCACTAGCAAGGGTGAAGAGATTGAACAAAGATTAAGAAAGAAATTACACTGAAAAACAATTTGGTTATACATGATGAAGGTCAACTTTGAACGTTGTTCATATACCAAGAAGATCG